CACTGCGCTTCCAGGTCCCCTAGAGGTCCATGCCAGTTCCTTCCATCATGTCTAATATTGGCCTTTGCTTTGCAGGTGTCTTGCAGTTTTTTTTCGGGCCATGGACTGACATGTCCGTAAACTCTGCAAGCTGTTTAAGCAGAGGTGATTGTCCCACAGGGAGGTGTGTTTGTGAAATGCCTTGAGGTAAGGGGGGATATAGAAAGGTAGAATATTGCTCTTATTGGCTAGCATGTTTCTAAACACACGTGATTGCCCAGGGATGTAATGCCAGTGATGTGGGGCAAGGTTGGGCCCTTGTAGTTCAGAACACACAGACACAGTGAAACACATTTGAATGGACAGAGTTTAGATCTTGTTGTTTATGAATAATGATGACTGTGTTGGCTGAAGTGGTCACCTTCTCTCCAGTCTGGAAAAAGCTGACACTGGATCTACTGTGAGGTTATCTAGAAGGGGGAGGAGTCATTTAGTTTTTGTCATCACCATACTTGGCTGCTCATTATTGCGCTCAGCTAAACCTCTGCTCCCTGTATGAGATGCAACAGTCTCCTTCCCCTGTAAATGTTAACACTGGAGGCAAGTCCCAGGTCTTAGACAGGATCATGGATAAGCCAGCTAGCTGGGCCACTGGGCTAGGTGGCGGGGGTCACCTGGTCAGAGTGCTAGAAGCAGGTTAAGCTGAGTCTCTGAGGCAGAAAGGGAAACCTGGACTTCCAGGGTACATCTACATTGCAATAAAAAACCTGCAGAACCAAGGGTTCAGAGTATCAGCCGTGTTATTCTGTATTCGCAAAAAGAAAAGGAGTACTTGTGGCACCTTTGAGACTAACAAATTTATTTGAGCATAAGTTCCTTCTCCACTCTGAACTCTAGGGTACATGGAAAAACCCCCTAAGCTTATTTTTCCAGCTTAGGTTAAAACTTCCCCAAGGTACAAACTTTTTTACCTTTTGTCCCTCGACTTTATTGCTGCCACCACCAAGTGTCTGACAAATATATAACAGGGAAAGAGCCCACTTGCAAATGTCTTTCCCTCAAAATCCCTCCAAGCCCTACACCCCCTTTCCTGCGGAAGGCTGGATAAAAATCCTCATCAATTTGCATAGATGAACACAGATCCAAACCCTTGGATCTTAAGAACAATGAAAAAACAATCAGGTTCTTAAAAGAAGAATTTTAATTAAAGAAAAAGTAAGAGTCACCTCTGTAAAATCAGGATGGTAAATACCTTACAGGGTAATCAGATTCAAAACATAGAGAATCCCTCTAGGCAAAAACTTAATTTACAAAAACACACAAAAACAGGAAACTACATTCCATCCAGCACAGCTTATTTTATCAGCCATTTAAACAAAACAGAATCTAACGCATATCTAACGAGATTGCTGTGACGCAGCAGGGAGGGGGGAGTGTTGACCTGGGAATGTGGCAGGGGGGTTTCACTAGGGATGGGAGACTTGAGAGCCTGTAACCTGAGCCGGGAGGGGGAGGTAACACCTCTGCCTGGGAAACTGGACAAAGGCTGCAGGAGAGAGCCTGCTGGGGGGTTTGGTTTCAGTTTGGTGCTGGGTGGTGGAATGCAGGGAACCCCAGGGCTGGGGTCTAAGCTCGCTGCCCCCCAGAAGGACTTGACTGAGGGGTCCTGGTGGTACCCACAAGCTCTGTTTTAGATTGTGTTCCTATTGTCCAATAAACCTTCCGTTTTACTGGCTGGCTGAGAGTCACAGTGAATCCCAGGAAGAGGGGTGCAGGCCACGGATTCCCCCACACTCCGTGACAACTGGTGGCAGCGGTGGGATGTACTGCACCCCGTGAACGGCGCTTCCTGCAGTAAGTGACTGGGAAACAGTAAAACGAAGGGGGATTGATGGGGACCAGGTGTGCTGAAGATTCAGAGAGAGACAGTTGCAGGGGGCGGTTAACCCCTGGGAGTGTGTGACCAGAGAGAAGGACTTTTGCAGTAACAGGGTCCCCCGGGGCATTGCAGCGAGCGGTCCCAGGGGTGGAGAAGTCTGCAGCTCAACCCTGGCAAAGAGGTGGTGACCTCAAGAAGTACTGGCACGCTTGGGGTTCTTCCTGGAACCCGTGGAAAGCTGCCCGGCCTGCGAGTGGCCAGCAGGGAGAGGTACGCTAAACGCTTTAAGAGCGACCTGGTGGAGCTGTGCAGGCAGAGGGGGCTGCACATTGGGAGGTCCACCAAGGAACAGCTGATTGCCCAGTTGGAGGAGAAGGATCGCTTGGATGACCAGGTCCCTGTCCCTGAGGGAAGCCGCCTGGTAGACGCAGCGTGGGCCCTGGGGCCTGACCGGGTTGGGAGGGTTCAGACTGCTGCCGAGGACATCCCCGCGACCCTTCCTACCTATGCCTGGGGAGGGGTTGGGGAAAGCCCAGCAAATACCGAGGGCATCCTGACCCCAGGAGCCAGCAGGGGATTCTCCTGGCGGAGCTCCCCATCCCTGGTGCGGAGGCGGCTGGAATGGGAGAGGGAGATGAAAATGAGGGAGCTGGAGGATCATGAAAAGCAGCATCAGCATGAGCAGGAGGAGAGGCAATGTCAGCATGAGCAGGAGGAGAAGGAGAAAGAGGCAGCATGAAGAGAAGCAGAGACAGCATGAGCTGGATCTGGCCAGGCTGAGGAGCAGTGGGGCCCTGGCTGCAGTGAGTAAGGGGGGACCCAAGACTGCAAAGAGCTTTGATAAGTGCTCCCTGGCCCATCATAAGGAGGGGGAGGACATAGATAGCTTCCTGGCGGCCCTTGAGAATGCCTGCGAGATGCACAGCGTTGTCCCTGCCGACAGGCTCCAGTTTCTCACCCCCTTACTGGACCCCAAAGCCGTGTACAGCCAAATGACAGGGGCAGATGCAGGGGACTACGAACTGTTCAAAAAGGCCCTGCTCCGTCAGTTTGAGCTGACCCCCGAGATCTATCGGAAAAGGTTCCGGAGTCAGTGTAAAACGCCTGAGGTCACATACCTACAACTGGTCAACCGGATGCAGGGATATGCCCGCAAGTGGACAGCTGGGGCCCAAGCTAAAGAGGACCTGCTTGACCTAATTGTACTGGAGCAACTGTATGAACAGTGCCCTTCTGACCTGAGGCTATGGTTGGTGGACAAAAAGCTAGAGAACCCACAGCATGCAGGGCAGCTGGCCGACGAGTTTGTGAACAGTCGATCGGGGTAGCAGGGAGGAGTCCCAAAAGAACAGGCCCCCCCGATGCAGAGAGAGAGTCACCATGGGACCTCCCAGCGGCGAAATATGGAGAACTCCCTCCCAAGGGGAACGCCTGGCGTCAGGACCATCCGACCCGCTCGAGGGGACCAACGTGACCTGAGCTGCTATCACTGTGGCCAGAGAGGCCATGTATGGACCCAGTGCCACAGGCTCAGGGACAGACTGAGCAGACCCAACCGATCCAGGGTTAACTGGGTAGGGACCCAGCTGGACGAGGGGCAGACGGCCCAGGCAAGGGGGGCTGCCAGCTTACCACCTGCTCAGGAGGGAAGAGTACCCCAGGCCAGCTCCTCCGGAGGGCTGGATGCTCTGGACTCAGGGTTCTTGGTTTACAGGGTGGGCGCGGGGCTGTCCCTCTGGAGAGAGTGCCTTGTTCCCCTTGAGGTGGATGGGAGGAAGGTCAATGGATACTGGGATACGGGCGCGGAGGTGACGCTGGCCCGGCCCGAGGTGGTGGCCCCAGATCAGGTGGTGCCGAACACCTACCTGACCCTGACTGGGGTGGCTGAGACCCCATTCAAGGTGCCTGTGGCAACGGTACACCTGAAATGGGGGGTTAAGGAGGGCCCCAAGGACGTGGGGGTACACCACCATTTGCCCACTGAGGTTTTGATAGGGGGAGACCTAGAGGACTGGCCAAGCAACCTCCAGACCGCCCTGGTTGTGACCCGTAGCCAGAGCCGGCGAGGGGCACTGTGCCCCGACCTTGGGGAGGGTACCACACCGGAGGCGCAGGACCCTACCCTGGTGGGGAGGGAGCGCCGAGGGGCACAGCTCAGAGAGGCTGTGGCCTCAGACCCAGCCAATGAGAGGGAACCGGTCCCCATCCCTTCCCCAGCCGCTGAGTTCCAGGCCGAGTTGAGGAAAGATCCCTCCTTGCGGAAGCTCAAGGACCTGACCTCAGTGTGGGACGGACCATGAGGAGAGGTTGCCAGGAAAGGTTCCTGTGGGAGAAGGGGTTCCTGTATCAAGAATAGGCTCCCCCAAGGGAAGTGGAGTCCTGTGGGATCAGGAGGCAGCTGGTGGTCCCCCAGAAGTATCGCCACAAGCTACTGTACATGGCCCATGACATCCCCCTCTCAGGGCACCAGGGAATCCGGCGCACCCGGCAGAGGTTGCTACAGAACTTTTACTGGCCCGGGGTCTTTACCACGGTCCGGCAGTATTGCCGATCCTGTGACCCCTGTCAGAGGGTGGGGAAGGCCCAGGACAAGGGGAAAGCAGCTTTGAAACCTTTGCCCGTCATAGAGGAGCCTTTCCAGAAGGTGGCCATGGACATAGTGGGACCTCTCAGCAAGACGACCTGGTCGGGGAAGAAATACATTCTGGTGGTGGTAGATTTCACCACCCACTACCCTGAGGCGGTGCCCTTAGCTTCCATTGAAGCAGACACCGTGGCCGATGCGCTCCTGACCGTTTTCAGCCGAGTGGGGTTCCCCAAGGAAGTCTTGACAGACCAAGGCTCCAACTTCATGTCGGCCCTGCTCCGGTGCTTATGGGAGAAATGTGGGGTCTGGCACAACTGGGCCTCGGCTTATCACCCCCAGTCCAATGGGCTGGTGGAGAGGTTCAATGGGACGCTAAAGATGATGCTGAAAACCTTTATGAACCAGCACCCGCAGGATTGGGACAAGTACTTACCTCACCTGCTGTTCGTGTACAGGGAGGTACCCCAGGAGTCTTCCAGATTTTTGCCTTTCGAACGGTTATATGGAAGGAGGGTAAGGGGCCCCCTGGACCTGATGAGAGACAAATGGGAGGGGAAGGCCACTCCCAATGGAGAATCAGTGGTGGAGTATGTCCTGATCTTCCGAAAGAGACTTCCTGAACTCATGGGCCTGGCCAGGGAGAATCTGGCCAGAGCCCAGAAGAAGCAGAAGGTCTGGTATGACCACACGGCGTGGGCCCGTGCCTACACCACCGGGGATCCAGTGATGGTTCTCATTCCCGTGAGAAAGAACAAACTACAGGCCACCTGGGAAGGCCCTTTCAAGGTTGTCAAGCAGCTAAATGAGGTAAACTATGTGGTGGAGCTGTCTAACCGGGCGCACCACCGCCGGGTGTACCGTGTGAATATGATGAAGCCATATTATGCCAGGGGGAATGTGGTGTTGGCCGTGTGTGGACATTGGGAGGAGCAGGGAGATGACCCTTTAGTAGATCTATTCCCAGAGCTGGTTCCCCCCTGGAAACAATTCCCCTCTCGGATCAGCTAACCCCTGCCCAGCAAGCTGAGGTCAGGGGGGTGCTGCATCCGTACCGACAGCTGTTTTCCAACTAGCCTGGACGCACTAATCTGACTCTCCACCGGTGCAGACAGGGTCGCACCCACCGATAAGATGCTCCCCCTTCCGAGTCACAGGGAAAACTGCTCAGGACCTGGAAAGAGAGGTCCGGGATATGCTGGCTTTGGGGGTGATCCAGCCATCTGCCAGCCTTTGGGCCTCGCCAGTGTGCTGGTCCCCAAAAAGGACGGGTCAGTCTGGTTCTGTGTGGACTATCGGAAGCTCAATGCCATCATTGTATCGGATGCCTACCCCATGCCCAGGCCTGATGAGCTCCTAGACAAGCTGGGAGGAGCTCAATACCTTACCACCATGGATCTTAAAAAGGGCTACTGGTAAGTGCCACTGGATGCAGATGCCTGGCTGAAATCGGCCTTTATCACCCCTCTGGGGCTCTATGATTTCCTGACCCTACCTTTCGGCCTCAAGGGAGCGCCGGCCACCTTCCAGTGCCTGGTGGATCAGCTACTGAAGGGGATGGAGAGTTTGCCGTGGCGTATATTGATGACATCTGTGTCTTTAGCCAGACCTGGGAGGACCATGTGTCCCAGGTTAGACAAGTCCTGGACCGACTCCAGGAGGCGGGGCTGACCATAAAAGCTGAGAAGTGCAAGGTGGGGATGGCTGAAATATCTTACCTGGGCCATCGGGTGGGGAGCGGCCGCCTAAAGCCGGAACCAGCTAAGGTGGAGGTGATCAGAGACTGGCCCGCTCCCCACACCAAAAAGCAGGTCCAAGCCTTTATTGGGTTGGCAGGATACTATCGAAGGTTTGTGCCCCGCTTTAGCACCATAGCCACCCCCATCACTGAGCTATGCAAGAAAGGGAAGCCAGACAAGGTGGTCTGGACCAAGCAGTGCCAGGAGGCCAGATGCTGGAGGTGGCTCTGGTCAGTGGCCCAGTTCTGGCAAACCCAGACTTTGACAAGCCCTTTATGGTGTTCACCGACGCCTCCGACACGGGACTGGGGGCGGTGTTAATGCAGGAGGATGAAAAGGGGGAGAGACACCCCATCGTGTACCTGAGCAAGAAGTTGCTACCCCGGGAGCAACACTACGCGGCCATCGAGAAGGAGTGCCTGGCCATGGTGTGGGCCCTCAAGAAACTAGAGCCCTATCTCTTCGGGCGACACTTCACCGTGTACACCGACCACTCTCTCCTGACCTGGCTGCACCAGATGAAAGGAGCCAACGCCAAACGCCTGAGATGGAGCCTGCTCCTGCAGGATTACGACATGGACGTGGTCCATGTGAAGGGAAGTGCCAACATGATAGCGGATGCGTTGTCCTGGAGCGGGGACTCCGAACTTCCCCAGGTCACTGGTCAGAGTGACTCCGCTCAGTTCAGTCTCAAAGGGGGGAGAGATGTGACGCAGCAGGGAGGGAGGAGTGTTGACCTGGGAATGTGGCAGGGGAGTTTCACTGGGGATGGGAGACCTGAGAGCCTGTAACCTGAGCCGGGAGGGGGAGGTAACACCTCTGCCTGGGAAACTGGACAGAGGCTGCAGGAGACAGCCTGCTGGGGGGGGTTTGGTTTCCGTTTTGGGCTGGGTGGTGGAACGCAGGGAACCCCAGGACTGGGGTCTGAGCTCCCTCCCCCCCCCCCGAAGGACTTGATTGAGGGGTCCTGGTTGTACCCACAAGCTCTGTTTTAGATTGTGTTCCTATTGTCCAATAAACCTTCCATTTTACTGGCTGGCTGAGAGTCAGAGTGAATCCCAGGAAGAGGGGTGCAGGCCCCAGACTCCGCCACACTCTGTAACACCCCCCATGTGCTCTGAGCTGAGAACTCAGCTGACAGGAGGAATCCACTTGCACAACTCATCTTCACGGAGGGAGGGCAGAACAGCCAATGTCTTTTGTCCTCTTTAATGTCCCACAATGGTCTGTCTGGTGTCAATGCCCCTTCCCTGTTGGACAGGACGTAACACCTTCTGCTGGAAACCAGCACTTCACACCAGTTACTGTCTCTCTCCAGTCTGATGATTTACACGGTCACCGAGGCTCACAATACAACCGCTCAAATAGTAACATCTGTATTCCATATTGTAAGGTATGTCAGCCTAATGCAGAGAGCAACTCACAAGTATTCAGTAAAGTCTCAGCACTAAACACCTTCTTATAACCCTAATCCCCGTTTTAACAATACTAACGTACAGCTGAGCCAGACTGATTTCAGCCATGTATTTGTCAGTGTTCAGCTGAGACATGGGGACCTCGGCATGAGCTGGTCTGCTAGCGTCACAGACCCTATCCAGAAGTACTGAGAAAGGAGGCTGCAAGGGATAGGATCAATGCCTGGAATGGGCCCATAACTCAAGGGAAGCAGTCTCTGTGAGTTAGGGACCGGAGGAAAGGACAGCAACCAGATTCAAGGGGAGCAGTTGGTGTCCCAGGAATGAGAGGTCCTGAGGAAAGGAGGAAGAGCATGGCAGAGGAGGAGGAGATCTTAAACACAGCAGCAGAGAAACAGGTCTGGTGGTAGCCAAATTCTGGAGGGAGGATCTAACGGGGCAGCTAACTGGCTGGGATTTCCTACATTGGCTTGAACACTGGTGCAGGACATCGCGATAGACTGGAAGGAGGACACTGTCACTCAGGAAGGGTCGGATGTTAGGCGTCTCTAGCCAGAGGGCCAGGTCCCAGTGGCAGTATAATAGAAGGTTAAGCTGGACTATACGTTCAGCTGCTCAGTGTAACATGCCTTATCAGCGCACAACAGCCACTCCTGGCAGTACATTACATGACCATACAGAGAACACGTCCCCGGTGTGTCCCTCGGGGAAGGAAGCCCGGGAGCCAGTCCACATCTGGTACAAGTGCCTGATCAGCAACCTGCCCTGTACCAGCCGTACATGACAGGCAGGAGCCAGTCTAGAAAGCCACAAGAGGGCACTCTGGGGCGGGGCAATATAGCACAGGGAGGGGGTGTGCGTTGGGCCGCAAGCACATCCTGTAGGGCCCTGATTCGCCATTTCTTGTTGAAGAAAAAGCATTGTTCCCTGTTAGGGTGGGGAGCGGGAACGGAGACATCGTTCCTACAGATCCCGCAGCTGGGTGGAAGAAAACTGGGTTGAGCCTCCCGACCCTGACCAGCGTCTCTTTCCCTGCCCGCTTTATCCCTCCTATCGCTTGTTTTCCACACCAGGTCCTGCCATCGCAGCGAGAAAGCCCACGCGTCCCATGGTAACCGAGGGGACGCTGATGGTACATGCAGCCGCTTTGCCCTTTGCTCGACTATAAACCCCACGTCTCCGGTTGCCCCTCCGGGACATCTGTCTGGCAAGCTACAGAAGGAAGCAGCTGGCGGCCGTCTCCGAAGTCGGAGGTGCCCAAGGAGGCCTGCAGACAAATTAGCTGTGACTGGCTCTCCAGACACCTCTTCCCGGGGTGGCCTTTGGTCATGTTAGCTGGAGGGAGGAGAAACGGCATTTGGAAGAAGAGTCAAATGAGAAAAGGGCACCCGCGTGTGCAGGAGGATGTCGCTGCTGGTGGATAAGAGGCATTGGCTGGAAACACACTAGCACGTGATGTGGCTGTTTGCCTGCTCGGAACTGGGCTGAGAACCTCCCCCGTCCCCGGCACCAGCCAGGGCCCTGTGTTGCTTCTTTATCGCAGCAGGTGAATGCTGACGTCCCTGGAAACAAGGGGGCTAGTCGATCTGATTTTCTTACTCCCCCGCCCTTTCTGGTTCGTTGGCGTAGGGTTGGCCATGAGTGCTTGGCTGCAGGGCTCCCTCTCTTTGCCTGCGTCGGATCCACACCCACACATGCTTTCTACCCCACACCTACGTGTCCACTGCTATTTCCCATCCCCTCCTTCCTGCTCCCGACTTTTGTTCCTCTCCTTCTCCCGTGCTCAGCATCTCGCCTGCTGTCCTGCAGCCCCGAACGCTGCTCTCCTGTCCTTCAAAGCCCTCCTTGGTATCCCCCTCCCGAATGGCTGTCCTGTGTCTTGTCTAACGTAGACAGGCTTTTCGGAGCTGGGGGAGGTGCCTTTACGTTTCTGACACACCATGTGGGGAAAGATTTGTGTGACGATCATGCTAAGAATTGATGGAATAACAATGACCATAGAATCCCTCCTCTGAAATGTGCTGGTTTTGGCATTAAAATATTTCACTGCCCAAAGCCCTCACCTGGGACCCCGACCTTCTCCCAGGCGACTTTATGGCCGTTTGGCACAGGAACGAGGTGATCTTTCTCCTGGCTGGTTGTTACTGACACGTTGTATTTGTCTCTCTGTGCTTCAGGGCCTGTCAGCTCATGTGACTGTCCAGAACCCCCCAGGTGCTGGGAGTAATTATGACCACGGATGAAACCTATCCACTTTCCAGAGACCCATCAGCTTGGTTGGTGAGAGCATCCCAGGGTAGCTCTGGTAATTCAATCAGAGTCTGTAATTCGCTAATGGGCAGGATCGATTCTGGGCCGCAGCCGAAAGGGGCTTTGTTTCCATCGCCCCAGCCCTTTGCCAGCTGGCAAGCTGCTGCCAGGTGAGAATGACAGAACTTCACCCCCTGGCGTATTCCTCTGTGGCAGAGCAGAGCGCGCCTTGCTGGAGCCTGTCTGGACCATATTCCCCAGGGCCAGGCCAGGATCCTTCCATACAATCCAGGATCCAGGCCTTTGTCCAGCCTTAAGCGTCCCAAGCGATGGGGGACTATTCCACAATCTAGCACAGAGGTCCCCAAACTGTGGGGTGCGCCCCCCTGGGGGGGGCATGGAGAAACGTTCGTAGGGCACGACGGGGTCTGGGACAGCCCCCACAGGGGGTGTGGAGGGAGCGCCACCCAGCCCCGCTCCGCTCCCAGCTCTGCTGTGGCCCCATCCGCGGCTCCTGGTCCCAATCCCGGCCCCATAGCCTCAGCCCCGGACCACAGCCCGGCTGTAGCTCTGCACCAGGCCCTGGCCCTGGCCCCAGTCCAGCCCTCAGCCTCTGGCCGCAGCTCCATTCCCAGCCCCAGTCTCAGCCCTCTTACCCCTGTCTGTGTCTCAGGGGGTGGGGGGAGGAAAAGGGTATTGAGAGGGGTAAGGGGGGCCATGACCCTGAAAAGTTTGGGAACCACTGGTTTACCAGATTTCATTGTCCGAAATCAAAGATGCTGTAGGCGCACTTCAGCCTCTTTAGCAGATCACTTTTCTCTGAGGTGTCTGGAGCACACGAGCCCTGAAGAAACATGTCCTTGAGGGCAGTGGCCTTAGCAGGGAGGGCTTGGATTGAGGCATGTTTCCATGGGGACTGTTGTGATAATTGGACTGACAAATTGACCCTAATGGTGAGCTCAGTTGTAAAAAGTCTATGAAAGTTCACGAGATGTCACCATAACCTATAAAGGCAAGTGTTGATGGACAGTAGGGCCAGTAGTGTTGTGTTATAAGCAGGTGCACAAGAACTGGCTAGAGAGACTGGATTAGCCCAGATTAAAAAGAGACCACATTATGATAACTCAAGGACAGTGGTGTTGAAACCATGCTGGGTAAAAAGAGAAGATATGGACCTGGAAATGAATAGACCAGCATTGATGTGTCAGATATTAGGCTTCACGCGTGGACAAAATAATGAGGGGCCAGGCTATTCCACCCACCATTCCCTTTGTGAGTCCTTCAAGAAAGAGACTTTGGGGAGAGATTAGGGAAGAACAGATGGAGGCTGCTGGAGTGAGTGTCACCATCATGGCTGCCACCCCCACTGTCTCCTGGGACCCTGGGCCTTTGTCCTCCTGATCTGGAGGGATGTCTGGGCCAGACTGGGCCAGAGAGAGGGACCCAGATGAATCACCACCTCTGCCGGCTCCAGCTGAAACCCAGCCACCACCTGGGATGAAACGGGATCTGACTTTAACAACAGCTCCAATCCATCTCAACTCCCTTCTCTTTCCACTCAAGGATGGTTATTACCATCTTTGGTAAGTACTAAGAGACTGTCAGTCAAGGGGCTTTTTCCTTCTGAAAACTCTCTCCAGCTAAAGGCAAATGGAGCAAGGGATGGTGTTAAAATCAAAGCCTGACTCAGTACTTTCCATTTCAAATGCTTTCTCTGGTTTTCTTTCTCTTCTGTATAATAAAAGGGCAGAAGGACTTTTAGTAATGTGTTTGCCCTGCTCTGAAGCAGGCTGAAGTCTGTGTACCAAACCTCAGACCTTATTTACCACTGTTTAAGGTTGGACAGTGCCTGGGTTATATTAACAGCTTTGGCTCATTTAATCCATCTAAATAACTACAACAAGGCCCTCCGCTGAGATAGTCTTGATATGGCCAGCCTTGGCTGAGGTGCCCTTACCTAAGGAGGTCTTAAAGGAAGACCTTTCGCTGACAGGTCAGTGAAGAAAATGTACAATAAAGCCAACTTTAAGTATTCTCCATATGAAAAATGCTGGCACAGTTTCCTTCCAAAACGCACATTCGTCCTGCTGGAATAAACCCAGAAAAAGAAGCCCAACCAAGTTTGTGCCAAATTTCCTTCACAAAAATCTCCAGTGGGCCAAACCAAGCCCAGGGAAGTGAAGCCCCAAAGGAATTCTGTTTGAGAACATTGCGAGCAAGTGAAAATGTGACTCAGAATGGAACGGGCATCTCCTGCTTAGCCGTAGTGCAGTGGTCCCCAAACTTTTCACGGTTGTGCCCCCCTCACCCGTCTGCACCCCCCCCTCGGGGCTGGGACCATACCTCTGGGGGGGAAGGGTGTGCAGACAGCGGTAGGGGGGCTGAGGCTGGGGCTGCAGCTGCAGCTGGGGTGGGTCTGGGGCCGGACCAGGGCTGGGAACCGAGCTGCAGCCAGGGGCTGGAGCGCGGAGCGGAGCCGCATTTGGGGGCGGGGCCGGAGCAGAGCTGGGGGCGGAGCGGGGGCTGGGTGACACTCACTCCCCACGGGTGCTGGCAAGGCCCCACCACACCCCACTGAACATTCCTCTGCACCCCCCCTAGGGAGATGCACCCCACAATTTGGGGACCACTGCCGGAGCGTTAGCACCAAGGAGTTGTGTTGATGCAGCGACCGTGCTCCAGGGAATGACACTAGGAGTTTACTCCCTATGTTGGCCTCAAGACGTTGATAGTGTTCGTCTAATTCTGTAAAACTGGCCCGTTTCCAGCTTTGCTCAGGGAGTGAGGGGCAAGGTGAGCCGCCAATTAACTGTGCAGATGCCATATACTCCACGTGCTGATCACCCCTCCCCGCTCCTCTGCTTTGGAGCATCCAGGCTGCGCGGAGCATCTGGCACCTGTTGAACACCGTGCTGTCTGAGGATGGCTTGATCAAGCAATCCCACCATCCCATGTGCTCTGTTGGAACGGCAAGCTGGCCTGCGCCGTTCCGCTCAGTGGCGCTGTTTCACACGGGGAGGCAGTTTTACAAAGCGTCCTTTAAAATAAGATCTCGCTCATTCTCCATTTGCCCAGACATGGCCTCCCTCCCCCAAACCTCCTGCACACGCCCAAAACACCCAGGGCTGCAGGTTCCAGTCACTTCATCCATTAACCCCCCTACTGTAGCAGTCACGAAGGGGTTAATGGATGGAGTAATTACTCCCCCAGCTGTGACTAAGTAGCTGCCTCCCTGGGAAATATGGTTCTCAGGCAGCATGGGGCAGCTGCCGGAGAGGCTGAGGACTATCTCAGGGAGGTTCCTTGTCAGTATCCTGGAAAGGAGCCACCCAAGAAGTGGACCCAGAGGCCCGCCCTGCGGAGTAGAGGGTAAGACTGCTGGGCTGTAGCAAAAGGATGTTTCTTTCCCTCCTACAAGGTGAGGAGGAGAGTCCAGGTTGCCGGAGGCCCCTGTTGCCAGGCCATAGAGAGACTGCTGGATAGAGTGAAGGAGACCCGGCAAGCTGGGAGACTGGGCTGTGGAAAGGCCAGGGTGTCCTAATGAGCCCTTAGATAAGGAGGGGAGGAACGGCCCCCTTTGCACACCAGCACCAGAATGTAGGGGAAAGGAGAGGAACTGTGATGGGCTGGTGGACTTTGTACCGCTAATGTCGGGCTGATGTTACGTTCACGAGGGAGGCGTGTAGCACCATGCGGTGGGTGGCACTCACTGGCGGTGTCACCTAGTGGGTTAGGGTACTAGGTCTCTAGTCACCCGGCCTCCAGGGTCTCTCACTAGCTACCATCTAGTGCCCTGACAGTCCGCCTTTTGGTGGCTGACAACCCAGCCTGCCGCTCAGGTTCCCAGTTAGCCATATCCCAAGGAATACGGCGGATCAGCACTCTGCCAAAGGGCAGGCATGGCGGGGAAGCACCTTCAGTCTGTTCAGTGACCCCTGCAGGTGGCCAGTCCCAGTTGTGCAGTTTGCAAAGTCTTCATGCTCTCGGGGTTTCCCCAAGGGGGCATCCAGAAGAGAAGGTTCTTGTATGCTCTGTAACAAGGCGGTTGGTAGAGGAGCCCAGGGCCTCCACTGGGGTCCTGCCCAGGGCCATGTGAGAAGCTACAATGTCCAGCCCCCGGGAGTGCTTTATAGCTGCCTCCCGGGGCTGCTTCCTACCACTCCCTGCCCCACCAAAGTCTTACAGTTTGACGCAGTAGCAAAGAAAAGGGGAGGAACTGGACCCTCAGCTGCCCAAGCACACCAGGCAGGCAGGAGTTCCTCCTAAGGAAGGGTTTCTGCAGCACCCATCTCCAGGAGCTCTCAGGGTCTGTTGCTCTCCCTGCCCTGGCAGGTCCCTTCTGAGATGTCTGTCTCCCTTCTGAACAACACCTTCAGCTGTGGCATCCTCTGCAGGTGGGGATGGACAGGGCCGGCTGGACCCAGACTTGCTCCTTAACCCCTTCAGATCCAGTGTGGGGTTTACACCCTCCAGCACATACTGTTAAGCTAAAATGTGTCCAAAACGGGGTGGAATGCCAGAGCCGCAGTGTCCTGCGCCCTGTCCCCGGAAGCATTGGAGCTGTGCTATGGGATCACAGGTGGCCTGGCTGTGGTCATCCACGTGCAGTGGAAGCAGAGTGTGATGGGCTCTGGGAGGGCTCCTGCAGCAGGGGCATTAGGTCAACAATTTAGAGAGGTTGGATTGTGGTCAAAGTTTAATGAAACCCTCCTGTTTAGCACCTGTCCCTGCACCAGGCTTGTCCCCTTCTCAGCCCAGCCAAAGCTTCATGGTAGCTAGTTCCATCTCAGTGCAGCCTCCGACCTGGTTTAGTTAGACCCTGAGCTAATCAGCAGGGTGATAGTTTGCAGCTCTGTTAATTACAACTGCCAATATTGCGAGTAGGAAACTTTGTCTTTCCCACAGGGGGGCAGCACAGCCTCTTTTCTTTACCACCACCACAGCTGTTACAAAGTCCTGTTCAATCAACTGTCCTTGGACTGCTTCTGGGAAGAGTGCCATACATGTCCACTAGGCCAGGTCCCACAGTCGCCCCCTCACGGCTGCAAACGCAGGCCTAGGGTTAAAATCAGCCTTCTGAACGAGATGAGAGATTGGGGGTTATTTACCTTCCCCTCTCCCCCAGGAAGCTAGGGTACCGTATAATACGGGAACAGGGCCGGAAACGCCCACATCTTGGTGGGATTAATGTCACAGCACTGCCCTGCGAACCATGGGATGCTTCTGGGAATAGCATGGAGATGGCTGATCAATACCGGGATTCTATCCCCGGCATGCTGCCATCTTCTGGGCATGACGGTGCACAGCAGGCGGCCTGGGTTTGGGTATGTGGGAAGCCAGATGTTTCCAAAGCTTATTGCCCACCCCACCCGCTACTTGCCAAGAAATCCTGACTAACAAGCAGAGCATTGCTGACTTCACATGGAGACCCAGCTGCTGAGACATTTGCAAGCATCAGGTTTTACTCTCAACTGTCTGCATCGACTCACTCTCTCTCTCTCACACACACACACACACACACCAGGAGGAAAGGAAATAAACACTTTTAGACTGAAAATGATACAGGGAACCCTTATACCCATAACCCCCTGGGTTATGCTGACAGCAGAGTCCACACCAAACAGCAACACAATAATCTAAACAGAGATTGGTAAATAAAACAAATTAAAAATCATCAACAATTGAGTAACTGCCAGTGCCAGTCTGGAAAATTAGCACACGGGTGCTGATCAGCTAGGAAGGTGGAGCTAGCAGAGAGCGCCAAGTCTTACAACCCAGAATAACCTAACCCTCAACTCTAGCATCTGGTCTGCTGATAGCAATGGAACATCATGAGATGATAAGGTATACATATGGTTGCTACTGCAGTCCATATTGTACATAATGAGGTCCATATGGTAGATAACTGGGGGGGGGGTCCCCTTGGCAGGTGTTGAAATACATACCCAGCTAGGTTTTGCCCCCAAGCATCTGATACCTGGATATTGGTGGAGGTGACCAACAGGCCTACCGGCAAAGTGGATAAAATATAGGCCACAAATTATCTCCCATGCTTTGCTTGGCATTCTGCTCTTTCAGCCTGCATGATGCAGAGGTATCGACTGCCATGGTAGGATGCACAAGATGGAGCAGAGATTAAAGATCAGAGGAGATTTTCCTCCACCTCCTGTTGCCTTCCATCCTCCAGTGCTTGCACTGCTGCCAGCAACAGTGATGCAAGGAGAGGGTGCAGGCGCAGACTGACTCTGGAGAGGCAAGGACCTGATGCAGCACCCCTAGTTACAAAGCACAAAGGGACGATGCTCCCCTCGCCACACAGGAAATATAAGGGAAAGCAGCAAAGTGACTTCCCTGGCTCAGTTTAGTGTTGGCTTGACAGCCCTGGTGGCTGAACACCCCAGCAGCAAACTTCCCTGCACTGTCCCAGCCAGAACGGGTGTCCGGGGAATTCAGTCTTCTTGGCTCATTCAGTCAGTGGTCTCTCTGAGGCTGCCAACAAGGGGACCAGTTAATGCTGACTGCCCTGGCCCTGATGGACCCCCTCCATTCGGAACTGGAGCGGGATCCTGAGGGGCCCAAAGTCTGTTGATGTCAGTGGGAAGAGTCCCAATGACACCAGTGGGTGTCGGATCAGGGCCTGATTGGCACTGGGTGCTCATCGGATGGGAGCCACTTTCAGGCCCTACCAGTGAGCAGGATGGTTCCTAACCTGAGTGTTCCCATCAGCTGCTTCTTAATGGTATCCTTATGCTGCTCCTGCCTTGGAGAAACAAGGGGCCAGACTCTGCTTTCCCTGACCCTGCTGCAAACCAGGACTAACTCCCCAGAGGTCAATGGGGCATTCTCCCTCCCGGGGGAGTCACTGGGGCTTGCGTGGGAATTCAGCTGTTCTCCAGGACCAAAGGAAGCTGAAGGCAAATGTGTTGTGCCAAGCGATAGTGCAGCAAGGTCACTGGCTGTAGAGAAGATAGCAGAGCAGGGCCTGAACCCAGCCTCTGACCCCCATACCTCAGAATTTCAGGAGGTGTCAGTCTGAACCCACACACAGGCTCCCTTTGGGTCAAAGCGCAGCTCTTTATCCAAACACCCTCCAGCTCCCACATGTTCAGAATGCAGGGCCAGCTTCGGCAGCTCGGTCCCATCCCTAGCTAGAAGAGCATTTATGGGCCAGATTCCCCACTGATGCAAGTCAGCATCGCTTCACGGACTTCAGTACAGCTACTCCCCTTCACAGCAGCCGGGACCTGGCCCATTGACCTCAGTACAGCTTCTCCCATTCAATGGGCCAGGTCCCGGCTGCTGTGACTCAGTACAGCTTCTCCCTTTCACAGCAGCCAGTACGTGGCCCATTGACCTCAGTACAGCTTCTCCCCTTCACAGCAGCCGGGACCTAGCCCATTGACCTCAGTACAGCTTCTCCCATTCAATGGGCCAGGTCCCGGCTGCTGTGACTCAGTACAGCTTCTCCCTTTCACAGCAGCCGGGACCTGGCCCATTGACCTCAGTACAGCTTCCCCCCTTCACAGCAGCCGGGAGCTGGCCCATTGACCTCAGTACAGCTTCCCCCCTTCACAGCAGCCGGGAGCTGGCCCATTGACCTCAGTACAGCTTCTCCCCTTCACAGCAGCCGGGAGCTGGCCCATTGACCTCAGTACAGCTTCCCCCCTTCACAGCAGCCGGGAGCTGGCCCATTGACCTCAGTACAGCTTCTCCCCTTCACAGCAGCCGGGAGCTGGCCCATTGACCTCAGTACAGCTTCTCCCGTTCACAGCAGCCGGGACCTGGCCCATTGACCTCAGTACAGCTTCTCCCCTTCACAGCAGCCGGGACCTGGCCCATTGACCTCAGTACAGTTACTCCCGTTCACAGCAGCCGGGACCTAGCCCATTGACCTCAGTACAGCTTCTCCCGTTCACAGCAGCCGGGACCTGGCCCATTGACCTCAGTACAGCTTCTCCCCTTCACAGCAGCCAGGACCTGGCCCATTGACCTCAGTACAGCTACTCCCCTTCACAGCAGCCAGGACCTGGCCCATTGACCTCAGTACAGTTACTGCCGTTCACAGCAGCCGGGACCTGGCCCATTGACCTCAGTACAGCTACTCCCCTTCACAGCAGCCGGGACCTGGCCCATTGACCTCAGTACAGCTACTCCCCTTCACAGCAGCCAGGACCTGGCCCATTGACCTCAGTACAGCTACTCCCCTTCACAGCAGCCAGGACCTGGCCCATTGACCTCAGTACAGTTACTGCCGTTCACAGCAGCCGGGACCTGGCCCATTGACCTCAGTACAGTTACTGCCGTTCACAGCAGCCGGGACCTGGCCCATTGACCTCAGTACAGCTACTCCCCTTCACAGCAGCCGGGACCTGGCCCATTGACCTCAGTACAGCTTCTCCCGTTCACAGCAGCCGGGACCTGGCCCATTGACCGTACAGCTTCTCCCGTTCAATGGGCCAGGTCCCGGCTGCTGTGACTCATACAGCTTCTCCCTTTCACAGCAGCCGGGACCTGGCCCATTGACCTCAGTACAGTTACTGCGGTTCACAGCAGGTGAGGGGCTGGCCCTGAGTTTGGAGCTTTCATGTCTGAGCAGCGCAGCCCCTCCCCAGCAGGGGGCCTCTCTGTGGCTGTGATTGGTCAGCCCTCCGCCTGTTGCTATTATCAGCCCTTGGACTACCGCAGAGATGGCTCCTTTCTAATCAGGCAGCCTCTGAAACCCACCCAAGGGCAGGGGAACCCCAACAAACTGTAAGGAGCAGAGAGCCAGGAGCTGAGGGTCTTTTCATGCTTGTATCCAAATGGAGCCCAGAGTAAACTGATCAATGGGTGGAGGCGACTGATCTCCACCGGGTCTGATCCCAGAGGGCCTTCCTCCAGGGTGTGTCTACACAGCACCAGCTGGGCATGACAGAGCGGGTGGGGCATCAGCCTGGGTAGTGCTGCCTGGCACAGAGCCTGGCCATGCATTCTGCTCAGTACCCTGTGCTGTGTTGGCTTCATGGCTGTGTTACCTGCGCTAGCTGGATTCAAGCTGGCTCAGGTAGGCTGCCCTGTGCACAGTTTTAGCTGCGTAGACAGATCCTTACCCTTCAGTGGGAGTTGTCCCTGAGTGAGGGCTCCAGGATCGCACCTGTCGAAAAGCATCCTTGTGAATGATCCATTCCTTCCCCATGCATCTCCAGCCAGCTGTCACCCAAGAGTCACCCGATGGAACAAGAGGGGGTAGTTTGGGGCTCTTTAAAACAACTAACAAGCGAAGGGGTGGCCTGGTACTAAAGCACAGAAAGCAAAAGGAGTCTATATTCAGCAAAGTCGCTGGATTTGGTTGTAGATAGAAAACCTGGCACTCGAAATACTGCCTCAGCCCGAGCACATCTGTGAGCGCACATTTGCACTAGCATTTCTTGCAGTTGTATGAGTGCATGCACAACTGTGGGTCCCTGTCCTTAACTGCAAAGAATGCAAAGCCGACTGATTGCAGCTGCATGTGCGTGACTAACAAACGCATGCGCAATCACCGGTGCACTTAGACAACTACCACACCCTCATGCACAATGGCAGGTGAACTTCTAGATCTGCCTTTGCCACCTGTGCTTGTGCATTTCTCACTCTAGGCCTTATTTTTTCCCCTCAGTCTTGCCCTTGGATTGTAAGTAACTGGGAGCCCTGTGTCATTATTCAGATGCAGACCTCTACCAGTCCTGCCTGTGATGGCTCGGTCTCTCCAAGCCCAGGAGCAGCGATTAGCAGTGGGAGAGGCACAGGAACGCCGGCTCTTACAAATGTGCCTGTGAGAGGTTTGAGGGTGAGAGAGTCGCAGGGAAACTGAGCCCTGCCTCATTTCTGTTTCTGCTCCACTTGCTGGAGGCGCCTCGTGAGGTCGTCAATCCGAACGTTCTTCAGGTGGAGCAGGTGTTCCAGCCGCCGCACCTTCATCTGCAGGATCTGAGCAAAGGGAAGCACATGCTGGCTGGGGTGATCGGCCTTTTTTAAAGAGAGGGGCCCAAACCAAGCCCTTTATTCCAGCCCCATGGGCCTTGCAGGCTGGAGCCAGTTCTGAATTCTGCAGCTTATGCCTGTCTCTGCCTACTTTTACATGTGTCCTCTTTCTCCTACCTAGCTTTTAATCGAGGACTTATCAGTAGACCTCAAAGCACTTAGCAAAGGAGATCAGTATCATGATCCCCATTTTATAGATGGTGAAACTGAGGTATGGAGAGGGGCAGAGATTAGCTCAAGGTCACCCAGCAGGACAGTGGCAAAACCAGGACTAGAACCTAGGCCTCCTGAGTCAAGCGCTCTACCTACTAGGCTATACCGTTTCTCATGAAAAAGAATCCAGTATTTTTTTTTTTTATGTCTTGTGCTTTAAGCCAATGGCAAGCTCTAACAGGATCTTTGGGGCTGGCAGTAATGACCATGTTCTTCTTCTTTTGATCTCCCATCAAACATGCAACCAGACCCTTGTTTCTACCTCACATTTCCATCAGTCCCCAGTAAGTGACACAAGATCAGTAGGATCACCCAGCTCTTGGGTATCGGATACTGTCATAACATCACTTGTTCTCACCACCTTCAAAGACGGCCATAAAACACACCTTCTTCCGCAGAGCTTTGCAAGAATGGCCCAGGCAGGACTTCACATTGTCTTCACCCCCTTGGGACCGTGCCATCACCTGGGGGCTTATGCTTGTCTGAGCTGTTTTGTCTGGGTCTGAACCGGACTGCAGGCTTCTTGGAGCTGCGGCTGCATCTCATATGCAAGTACAGAGCCAGGCTGACCAGCAGGCCATGTGGCTGCACAGGGAGCCCTGCACATGAGTCATGATGGGCTATGGCTTGCTGAAATCTTGGCCTTGTCTACACTAGACTTACTGTCCTATCATTTTCCACCATTGCAAGCCCCAGCACAGCAGTCTATGGGACCCTACCCGTCCCCAGCATTTTAACCACAGTGGGTCTGTCTCCACTCCAATCCACTAGCTTTGCTCTAGCTTGCTCACATACCAACAGCAGCCAAGCCCCAGCAGCACGGGTGTCGAGTGGCTAACCTGCACCGAAGCCCATGCTGCCATAAGAATGGCCAGCCTGGATCAGACCAAAGATCCATCTAGCCCGGTATCCTGTCTTCTGACTGTGACCAATGCCAGGTGCCCCAGAGGGAATGAACAGAACAGGGCATCACCACATGATCCATTCCCTGTCACCCGTTCCCAGCTCCTGCCCTGGTTTCACTGCTGGTGGTACCCGAACTACATGGGCTGCAGTCACTCATCTGAGTGCAGTGTCGACATACCGTGAATCCTCACCCAGGGTTCTTGAGCCTAGACCTACGGGGCCCTGGGCAGGTGGCATCACCAGGCAGCCTTGGGTGCATGGACCATGGCTCTGCCTACATCCTGGGAGACCAGTCACTGCAGGAAGTGCTGCCCTGGTAGAAATGACTGGCAGCTCCTGCCATGAGCAATCATTTGCCCAGACCTACTATTTAAGCCTGGAGAGAGGAGCAGGAAGCTGTCTGTGCAACAGGGAGGTCTGACTTGCAGCCGAGATAGACCCAGCCTTGTTCCTCACTCCTTGCCCTGACCTCTGGTTCATGGCTATTGATTCTGGCTTGACTTTGGCTCCAGACCCCAGCTACCGACTCTGGGTTGACCCCTCAAGCCTGACCGCCTACAGCTCCAACCGCTGGACCGACATGGAGCCGATTAAGATCCTGGCAGCTGGTCTATGCTAATGGTCCCACCATTGCAACTAGTGGAGGTGCTGAGTTGGAGGCAGGAAAACCAGTCTTGTGCAGTCACCTCCACGCTGGCTGAGGACTCCCGTCCCGTGGGCATCATGGGAAGTGGGTATTCCCTACCCAGAGGGTGGGGTGGGGTGGGGTGGGATGAGCCATGGAGGTGGCTGTGGGCAAAGCCCAGCATACTTTCAGAGGATGTCTTGCTGTTCCACGGACAGCACGCGAACTGTCCTCACCTGGACCATCTCTTGACAAGCCAGCAGAGCCTGCTCCCTCTCCGCTAACTGAATGCGGAAGCTGGTGTCTCCCTGCAGTGCCTGGGCATAGCCTTGCTGGTCCTTGTTCATCCTGGGGAAAGAAGGAAAACCAGAGATACACGTAGGAGGAGGAGAGACTTGCCCACAGTGAGTTCCGTCAGATCGCAGAGGGTCCCCTATGGAAGGGGTGGGAGCCCCATCATGGGGGCCATTGAGAACTAGGCTGGACGCAGCGCAGGGGACTGGACTGCCCTCCATCAGCCACCTGCTGGACTAGATGGTCTAGTGTCTCAAGGGAAGCAGTGGATGTGCCATTGTCTGGGCATTTCAGACAGACTGGAACGAACAACAGGCCCCATCTCTCCTTCCGCAGGTCATACTCAGCCTTGGCATCAGAGCGCCTATCTCCCACTGGCCTGAATGCAACGGGGCCGAGTGCATTGATGAGCCTGATTCTCCCCTCCCATGCGCTGATGTAAGTCAGGAGGAACTCCAAAGCCATCAACAGGGTTACACCAGGTGAGAGGAGATTCAGGCTTTGCCTCTCTCACTTACATAAGCCACCCTGGGATAAACCCTGGCCCACTGGTAGACATAAGGGAGGCCAAGGCAGACATCACGTTCCCTCTTCCTTCCTCGGGACATCACAGGTTTAACTATCTCAGTGAGTGGCAGGATGGTCCTTGGATGTTTTGCTTTAGGAACAGTCCCTGCTGCTCACTGGGATCTGGGCTGGCAGCAGAGAGGGCTACACGCAGCAGCGTGAAGGGGTGAAAGCGCCAGGCCTCTGCCGAGCGGGGGTTAGGTTGGCACCACTAGAGTGGCCCAGGCAAACTGAAAGCCCAAGCAGGTGTCCGATTCCCCTGTGCTCTTTGTTGTGAGGCTGCAGGGCGGCTCAGCTTAGACAAACCCTGGTAGCAGCAAGAGGCAGAAGGTGTGCAGGGGCACTGAGCAGTGCTGGGGGTGGGCGCGTCCTGGCACACACTAAGGGCCCGATCCTCAGCTGGGGTAATTCAGCCTCGCTCTGTGGATGGCAGTGGAACTTCACTGACTTACCCCCGCTGAGGATCTGGGCCTGTGTGCAAATATGCGACAAAAGTACCATGGAGATTTCCTCTTTGCTCAGGTGGGCCGTTCACTTCCATAAATCTCGGGGGCAAAGCTGCCCCGGCCAGGAAGGGTTTGCATTTCACTTGCCCTTTGGGAAGGGTTGGATTGACAGTCCTGTGAAGCGGGGGCCTCCATTTTCCCATAAAGCAGTACAGCCCAGAGGACAGAAGGGCCAGCTACCTGCCGCTCCCCCGGACCCTTGTGGAGCACCTGAGCATTCCTTGGAGGGCTCCCAGCCAAGTAACCAGGAAGGGGCTGTAGTTCTAAAGGGTCATGCGGGGACTGTATCAATAAACACTGTTGTCAGTTTGTGGGGTGATCCTAGGGCAGACTTTACCTTTCAGCTCGTGGGGACTGCTGCACGTAGATCCCTGCTGCATTGGTCTTTGGCTTTGACGAATAGCCTGGTAACATAAACCACGTTCAGTTACAGCCGCAGATCAAGCCCTCTGTTACCCCGGTGTAACCCGCTTCCATGGGAGCCTCAGCAAGGGCAGAACTGAGCCTTAGCTGAAACTGGGAAAGTGAGGCCTTAGGACCCTGGGCAGCTTAAACACTGGCTGATTGGCTGGCCACGCCCAGCCAGTTCTGCGACAGGCGCATCTGGCCTCTGCGAGCAGGGTCAGGTTAGAACCACTGTCTGGAGCGAGGAACTGCTGTCACTGCAAGTCCCATTGACTCCCCCAGGGAGCAGCGGAGAGGTGCCACGCACACATGCTGGGGTAGTTTAATTGTGTGCCAATCTCACCTCGGGCTCTATGAGCTCACAGGTATGGGCTGGGAGTCGTAAGGCTTCAGAGGGGGCAGCTCTGAATTCCAGTGGGGCTAACAGGAAGGGTCTCATGCTTGAGCCCACTGGGGAAATGACACCTTGCTAGCACCGTCCATCTGAAAAGCTCATGTACGCCTAGTGCTGTCAGTCAGCCTTGCCGTTATCCCTGCCTTACCTAGCACATGGAGAGGGGAAGTGACTTGCCACAGCAAGTCCATGGCAGAGCTGGTTCTGAACCCCAGATCTCCTGGTTTACAGCTTTGTTCTTTAATCCAAGACCATCCTTCCTTCTGCTAGCTGGTCCCCTTAGAAAAAGCTACAAGGACTTACAGACTCTGCAGATTCCTAGAGGCCAAGCAGTTGGTGAAGAAGCCACTTGACCTATGAAATCTCTGCAGGTATTTCTAGAGCTGCAGCATCATAATAGCTGGACTCTCCAGCAACGGTAACTAATGTAGCTGGAAGAAAAGGAGTACTTGTGGCACCTTAGAGACTAACCAATTTATTTGAGCATGAGCTTTCGTGAGCTACAGCTCACTTCATCAGATGTTTACCGTGGAAACTGCAGCAGACTTTATATACACACAGAGAATATGAAACAATACCTCCTCCCACCCCACTGTCCTGCTGGTAATAGCTTATCTAAAGTGATCAACAGGTGGGCCATTTCCAGCACAAATCCAGGTTTTCTCACCCTCCACCCCCCCACACAAATTCACTCTCCTGCTGGTGCTAGCCCATCCAAAGTGACAACTCTTTACATAATCAAGTCGGGCTATTTCCTGCATAGATCCAGGTTTTCTCACATCCCCCCCACCCCCATACACACACAAACTCACTCTCCTGCTGGTAATAGCTCATCTAAACTGACCACTCTCCAAGTTTAAATCCAAGTTAAACCAGAACATCTGGGGGGGGGGGGGTAGGAAAAAACAAGAGGAAACAGGCTACCTTGCATAATGACTTAGCCACTCCCAGTCTCTATTTAAGCCTAAATTAATAGTATCTAATTTGCAAATGAATTCCAATTCAGCAGTTTCTCGCTGGAGTCTGGATTTGAAGTTTTTTTGTTTTAAGATAGCGACCTTCATGTCTGTGATTGCGTGACCAGAGAGATTGAAGTGTTCTCCGACTGGTTTATGAATGTTATAATTCTTGACATCTGATTTGTGTCCATTTATTCTTTTACGTAGAGACTGTCCAGTTTGACCAATGTACATGGCAGAGGGGCATTGCTGGCACATGATGGCATATATCACATTGGTGGATCTGCAGGTGAACGAGCCTCTGATATAATATAAATATAAACCTGTCATAATGTAGCTGGTTTTGTGATTAAGGCACTGGGCTGGGACCAGCAAATCCAGCTCAATTTGTGGCTCTGTCTCGGGCCCTGGGTAAGTCACTCGGGCCCAGATCCTCCAAGGTATTTAGGCTCCTGATGTCCATCAATTTCAGTAGCCGTTACGAGTCCCTCTCTGTGTGTCAGCTTACAGGAGAGAATCTTCCCATTCTCCCACTCCTCAGCTGTTGTGTCTTTGAGTCGACACTACATCTGTACAGCATCCAGCACAATGGGGCCGCAAACTCCATCAGGCCCTCTAGGTGCTACTGTAATGCAAATCATGTATCTTCTTCACACCCCTGCAATGCAGGACAGCACATCCCCATTGTACAGGTGGGAAACTGAGGCACAGGGAGACTGAGTGACTTGCCCAGGGTCACAGAGCCATGTGGCAGGGATGGAAGCCAACTCCCCCAGAACACACATACTGCTCAGAGAGACTCCTGTCACTCCTACCTGTTTCCATATGGCCATTCTCATTGAGTGCATAGCGTGTGCCCAGCTCCTGCACAGAGAAAACACATGGTTCAAGTGAAAATGCCTTGCAATCCACTGTCAGCTTCCTCCCAAGAGAGGCCTGGCAAGACTTCCATAGGCGGCAAGATGGCAACGATCAGGATATTGCAGAGATGAGTGGGTCTGAGTGAAGGCAGAATACAAGGTGGCACACAGGAAGTTACATGGGCGGAGCAGCTCGGATCCCATCCAGTAGGGGGCAGTGGCGCATCCCCCCAGCCAGTTCCTGGTACAATATCTGATAATAGGGGGGACTGGAACACTTGGGGGCCTTAGGCCGAACTTGCACTGCCCTGTCAGTGGAAAGATGGAACAAGTCTTTAGGAAAGACACTGAGGATGGGGGTCCCTATGAACTCAGTACTGTGGGGTTTCACAGGTCAGACGGGGCCATTATGACTATCTAGTCGGACACCGGGGAAAGGCCCGCACCCAGTGATTTCTGCATCAAGCCCAGCCCTTCTGTTGGAGCTATAGCCCAACAAATAGAAAGACATCCAGCTGGGATTTAAGGCCCCCGAGTGATGGGGAACCCACCACGTCACTAGGGTAGGTTGCGACAACAGTTAGCCTCATCATTTACAAAACGTACACCTTATGTCTAGACGGCATTCGTCTAGCTTCAGCTGCCAACCGCGGGGGTCTCATTCTACTAGATTAGAGCCCTCTGCTATCAGAAACCTCTTCCCCAGGAAGGCCTTGTAGGGTTTTGTACAGTTAACTAGGACCTATTGGTCAGAGAAATCTGGTCATCAGTTGAAATCCCCTTTTTTCTTTTAAGTCTAATAAAAATAGGTCTGGTCTAGTCTCAGTCCGGTTGCTAGGACACCGGTGTCCACATTTCCAAAGCACCATCACCCCGGCACAGATCGGCCACCTCACTGCCAGTCTCAGCAGAGAGGCGGCGCATTGATGGGCCATGGAGACAACACTGTCCTCACCTTGGTGGGGCGGGGTCCCTCCGGCACAACTTGCCCTGCTAACGCCTGAGCTGTAGCCAGCAGCGCTCACTCGCTGGGGCCGTCACGCTCGCACTGAAGAGGGGACAAACCGCCGTTGCTGGGATTATAAAACACTAAGTCCATGTGGCTGATTACAGAGCGTGGGTGTATGGGGAGAGAGGGAGCGGCCACAAAGATTCTGCAGTCCGGACAAGCAGGGAGAGAGGCATCACCTCTGAAACACCAGTGAGTGGAGCGGCCAAGGTAGGGCAATTGCATGATGACTGGTGTATTAGCCACGCAGATGATGTGCATCTCACAGCTGTGGCTAGGGGTGAACATGCAGGAGCGGGTGACGCTCAGCCATAGTCTGCTCCGCTGCAATCTCTACACCCCAGGAGGGACCGGACCAAGTTCCGGCAGAGCAACTCCACTCGCTCCAGCAGAGTTATTCCGGGTTTACACGGGTGTGACGGAGAAGAGTCTGGCCCGCTCTGTATACTGGTGTCTGCCTAAGGCCCATGAGTAAGAGCCATCTCTCTCCAGCGGCTGTTCTCCGGCAGGAAATCATCATCATCCCCGGTGACCAGCCAGGAGAAGAGTCACCAGCCGGCCCCCAGTCCCTGCTCTGATGGACACTGGGTAAAACCAAAAGCAGCTCCATTGCAGACTATGGGGTTATCTGGATTTACACAGAGAGGCATGAGAGAAGAATTTGGCCCCCTGTCTCCAGTCCCTTGTTGAAGCTGTTTTGCATAGTAACTTGCAATCAGGTCGTCTTCGAAGACCAGCAGCACGCTGCAGGCCCCTGCTCTCTTTTACTGGGGCAGTCTGGTGCAGCGGCTCAGCATGCGAGGCTGCAACTGCCATGTACTGCAGGTTTTCACATATTCCAAAATCTGTCCTCACCTTGTCCTGTGTCTTTGAAAAAGCAGAATCATGCTTTTTCCACACTGCCCCACTTTCCCAGGGCCTTACCGATCCTTTCGGACTATTCACCTTGAGGCCTCTGTTCTTCATCAAGAATCTGTCTCTGTAAAAATTCTCCCTGCTTTGCCAAAGCAGATGCTCAACTGTTTCTTTACCTTCGCACAACCCAACTTTGTGCACGTTGAGCAGAACTAAATGACCATTCCGCTCAGGGAGCGCTTCGCACTCTCCAGGTAGTTACTGTGCGGCCATAGCTGTGAAGGATAACTGCATCCTCAAGGTTCGGGCACATTTCATAGACCCTTCCTCCTTTTTCCTCTTTGCGCCATAGTTCTTGCTGTGCCTTTGCGAGTTCTCCCTTAACCACACTTTTGCATTCCTGTTGAGGCAGAGCTTGTCTACGCATACAGCACTGCAGGCTTAGGAGGAGACACGACCTCACTGACGGGGAGATTCTCCCATTGGTGTAGGTACTCCACTTCCTCGAGAGGCAGTAGCTATATTGACAGGAGAAGCACCCCCTTCAGGGGGGCCAGAACTGGGGAGGGGGGCATGGCCTCCCCCACTTTTAAAAGTGGGAGGGCCATGCCCACCCACTTTTTAACATGGGTGTTTGGGGGTCAAGGAGCCACATTGTTCCCCCCCAATCTGCAAGCCTTGGGCAGGTGCAGCCCCTGCTGGCAGCGCCAGCCTCTTCCTCGTGGGAGGGCTAGGGTGGCCCTTAGCCCCCCTCACCATGCGGTCCAGTCCCTCCCAGAGGCCCCCCCCCTCCTCCTCCTCCCCCCCCCCCCCCACGTCCCCAGGCCCTGCCCCTGGCCAGGCCAGAAGCTGCAATCAGGCCATGGTAAGAGCTGCCCAGGGTGCTGTCAGGAGCCCTGGACCTTCCACCTGCCCATGGTGGTGTGATCCGGGGACACGGGCACCCCGGCCCCAGGGCAGGTGGAGAATTCAGGGCTCCCTACAGTGGCCCGGGCTCCCTGGGCAGCTCCTACCACTGCCTGCTTCCAGCCTGGCCAAGGCCTGCAGGGGAAGAGGCGAAGCAGCGGCAGGGCCACTGAGAGGGACCGGGCCTCATTCCCCCCCCCCCACACTTCTACTGGGGTTCTGGTGCTCCTGCCTCAGGTCGCCGTAGCGCTGTCTGCAGCAGCAGCCGCCTGGGCGGTAGAACTGCATCGCCCAGAGGTGTGGATTTGCCCGAGCGCCGAACTTACACCGACACGAGTCTGTAGCGTAGACCGAGCCTCGGGGGACTCGGTAGATCAACCGCCTTGTTTTCTAAGGTCCTTTTTGCTGCTTTATCGCCCATTTCATTGCCTGGCATCCTGACATGGGCGGCAGCCCATGCCATTCCTATACGTGCACCGACGCTATCAGCCCCGCGAGGCTTCCCTCGGAGCCTCGTCATGAGGCACAGCAGGGACGAGGGGTGCGGCTGAGAAGGGGTTAAGGGTGAGCGGCTGGAGGTGGGCTCACACTGAATGAGGAGGAGAGACCTCCCCGACCCATGCCTGAGCTTCAGAACTGCTCCACTCACCTGGCTTTAGTGCCCCTTCATTAGCCCTTCGCCACTCAGTTTCCTCCTTCCTGTGCATCTATCCCAGCATCAGCGGGATCAGCTAAATTGTCAGCTCCATAGAACAACACTGATGCCCTCTGACGACTGAGGGATAACTGGTATCTTGACAAGACCTGCCTCTCACCCCATACCCAGTCTGCTAGGGTCGGCTGGGACACTCCGTTCCTAGCCCTGAACTCTCAGCACTGGTAGCTGGGCTCTCCCTCGACCCTAGTGGTCCGAGTCCGACTACCACACTGCATGGAGTGCTGCTTGCATGGAGCTTTGAATGGATGGTTTTTTCGATTTGATTTCCATCACTCGCTGGCCAAGAGCGCATTTCTGGTGGCAGGCATAACCGTTTTATTCACGGCCACACCCTGTGAGCTGCTCAGAACAACAATTGTGCACTTGTTTAATGCCTTCTATCTGAGGATCTCAAAGCCCTGTACGTACACATGATGGGGTGTATAAACCACACACAGATAGATGAAGGGTTAACGGGAGCTGGTGGGCCCAGTTAGCTCTCCCATTTCCACCTGGGGGAGAGGGTGTTTGGCATAACTCATAATCAGACCCAGCTGATTCCCTAAGGGAAGAAGCTCAGAATAGGGGAAGAAGAGAGCCAGAAGGGGGGAGACATGGGAGTGAGAGACCCAGCAGCAAAGGAGTCTGGGGTTCCTGCTGCCTGGGAAAGGAGCCAGGGGGAAGCTACAGTGGAGCCCTGTGGTGGGCCCTGAAATAGGGGAAAGGCTCCAGGGCGGTAACCATGTACATCAGTGTATGTGACTGGGCTGAGTGACTAGAACCAGACCACCATAGTGCCTGAATGGCCATCAGATGGAGAAGGGGAAGGTCTTGCAATGGCATGAACAGCCACAGGGAGACGCGCTGGCTGGTGAGTCACTATTCTGCAATAAATGAATTAACCCCCACCCACTTGCTGGGAGGGTCTAGCAAGCCCATTTTGAAAATGGGGAAACTGAGGCACACAGCGATGAAGTGACTTACTCAAGGGCACACAGCACATCTGTGAGTCAGAAACAGAACTCATGCCTCAGTCCCTGTGATGACTCCTACACTTCCACCATGCTCCTTCTGAATGCAGTTTAATGGCTCTGTGTTTGTAAATTACACCTAGTTGTCACAGCTGTAGGCCAAGCTCCAAAGTGCTCACCCAGCATTTGCCCCCAAGGCAGTTTGCCTGAGCAAGGACCTCAGCACATGGCCCATATACACAACAGGATCCTACACCACGTTTGACCATCTGAGGTGCCCGCCGTCCCCCAAGCACCGCTGACCTGATATGTGCTAGATGCCACCTTGCTCCGCTTCTGCTTGTCCTCGATTTTCTGCCGCAGTGGGAGCAGCACTAGCTCCACCATGCCGGGCGTGCACTGTACGATCTTCCGGATCATGTCTTCCGGGATGGAGAAATTCAGCTTGTTCAGCACCTTCCTGCAAGGGCACAAACCGCCCCCCGGTAGGGGAATGGTCAAACCACAGTACGGGGCACCCACTCTGCAGAACTGGCTTGAGTTCCTATAATAGTCTCATGTGGAAGTATCTCTCCTGGACTAAGGGGCCTGATCCTCAGCTGGGGTAAGTGGGTGTAGCTCCCTCAAAGACAATGTAGCAACACTGATTTACCCCAGCGGAGGATCATGCTCAGCATGCAGAGGAGAACATTGCATAATGTCTAGGATCTCGCTGCTCTAATTATTTGTTTCCAGTTGCATCCACGCTGCCCCAGAAAGAGGGGTCTGAGCTCAGGAAGGCTGCACAGGACTTGGGGGGAGATCAGAGAGGTATGAAGTCCAAGCCACTGTTTGGCGTTGGCAGAGGGTGTCAGAGCAGAAAAGCTGCATGGTATTGTCAGGTGGGTGTGAGGTCGGAAAGATGCAGAGGAGGGGGAAAAACAACAAGGAAACTGAATCACTGTTTTCCCTATGCACCCGCAGCTCCATGGCCCGACCTCCCCAGCACCATGCTGCCTGAGGGGCACTGGGCGCATGTTTACCTGTTGAGATGGCCCCAGTTGGAGAGTTTCTGTTGCGTTGAATTAGCTGGGACATAATTGTGCATTTCCACCATTTTGGGAAAGTAAAATTTCACCACTTCTGCTGCTAGAACTGCATAGGAAAGAAGAGGAGGAATCAGTGACAATGCAGTGCTCGGAGAGGTCAGATGAGCATCACGCCATGATCTGCATAATGACAACAATGAGACGCCTTTATATATATATGGATGCTCAGGAAAGATACTGTATAAACCACAGCCAGGACTAGTTATTGTCTGTCAGAGATTCCAGATCTAAGTGAAAAAGAAGGGTTCCTTACCTCATAGCGACTGTGATTCTACTTCAAGTACTTGTCCAAGTGGATCCCACTCTGGAGCAGATGAGCTCCATGCAGGGAGTGCATGCAGTGGTAGATTAGCCACTGGGCCAACGGGGCCTGTGCCCATGGGCCCCAGTCTACAGGGGGGCACTGGAAAAAAAAGTCTGCCACCAGGCGGTGGAAGCCCGGAGCCCCGGCAGAAGCACCAGGTGGGCGGGTGGGGCGGGGCGCTCCCCAGCAGAAGCACGGGGGAAGCGCCAGAGCCCGGACCCCAGCTTCAGTCCAGGGACTGGAGGCACTCTCACTCCCCACTGCAGCCCCAGGGCTGTTGTTGGGGGGGGGGGCAGAGCTTCTCCAGTGGAGGGGGGCAGAAAGGAGCAAACGGATTGTGGGCTGCAGGGGCGGGGGCAGAATGGGGCAGTACTGTGAGTGGAACAGGGGTGGGAAGAGGCAGAACAGGCTGGGGCCATGAGCAGGGCTGCAGGTGGAAGGGGCAGAATGGGAGCAGGACTGCAAGTGGAAGGGGTGGGGAGGGGCCACTCACTTGCTCTGGCCCAGGAAACCTTAATTCACCTCTTGAGTGCACGCATGGGACTCATGCACTTCAGAAGCGAGAGCCACTTGGACAAATACACAAAGAAGAATTCATCTCTTCTAACCAGCAACCCTGCAAACTTGCCCTGGGATCAGAGAGGCATCCAGGTTATTTCACTTTCATGCATAATCCACAGCAGTAAACAGCATTACCACACAGTCAAAAAATCATAATCCAGACCCAGAAAAAAATTGTAAGGTTGGCTTTAAAAAAAAAAAAATTCAAGATTTTAAAAATAAATGTTGGCTCTTTATTTGCCTTGGGGGGGTTTTTGTTGTTGTTGGTGGTTTTTTGGGAGCCTTTAGAACTCATGTTTTCAAGCTTTTTTCTGTAACCAAGAGAGCTAGAGACCTACTTTCCTATTTTTGAAATGAAAGCTGAAGTTCTCACATAGCTGACTTCAGCAGCTGGGGCTTTAAGGAAAACATGAAATATGAGAGTTGTGATAAGTGTGCAAAAGTTGGCAACACCACCTGGTTCTGCTGGCCAAAATTTACCTTTAGTAACACCTGTGTACCTAGGGTGACCAGATGTCCTGATTTTATAGGGACAGTCCCAATTTTTGGGTCTTTTTCTTATATAAGCTCCTGTTACACACACACACACACACCCCACTCCCTGTCCCGATTTTTCACACTTGCTGTCTGGTTACCCTATGTGCAGCCTCTCTCTTTAGGCATTGTGGGCAGCTGGCATAAATTGAGACCGCTATCAAGGATTTGGCTAGATGGCTCCAGGATTGGGGGGCATAGAGGAGACTTAAATCCACCTTTGCAAATAATCCTGAGTTGTGCGGTGTGCAGTTTGGACACAGAAACTAGGAATTTGCAGTCGCTCATTCACCTCTTCCTTATTAACCCTAGAGCAATCTTATTTTAAATTTAGTTTTCTTCTCTGTGAATATTGCTTGATTTTTAAAAACAAACAAACACAAACTTGTTTTTTAACCAGGGGGTGAAATGGACATTTACCAACCAGTGCAAACCTGACACACTCCCCCCACATTTCCCACAACCCCAATCTGCAAATGGTAAAGGAGGCCCTGTCTGTGGAGTTCAGAGCTGGATCCAAACTCTCCCAAAGTTCACTGCATCCCAAGGGTGGATGTGGCCAGTTATAGAAAGAGGGGTCAGCTGTAAAGATCAGAATTGTGTCTAGACTCCCCCAGAGCACTGGCTATTTGGATTCAGGATCCCAGGTCAGTCCCATTACAGCGAGAGAACTTAAACAGCAGAGTCTGGATCCAGGTCTGGACTCCGCCAGAGCTCAGGGTATTTCAATCCAGGATCCCAGGTCAGTCCCACTGCATTCAAAGCTCAAGCCATCCAGTCTGGGCCTGGGCTCTCCTTGAGCTCAGTGAATTTGGATCTGGGATCCCAGGTCGGTCCCATTGCATACAGGGCTCAAGCCATGCAGTCTGGATCTGGGTCTGGGCTCTCCCCGAGCTCAGGGTATTTGATCAGGATCCATTCCTGGGTCACTCGTAGGCCTCAAGCTGTGAAGTCTGGACCCAGGCCGGACGGCGGCCAGCTCCAGGAGCTTGGGCTCTGGCTCCCCAACCTCCATCGCTGAAGTCTCGGGTGATGTTCTTCTTGGGTCGGGACAGGGGGATGGCATCCACCCAGCTGTAGAGCTCCTGCAGGCTCTCCTCGTCCAGCTCCCCGTTCGCCATCGGCTCGGCCGCCAGCTGGGCCCAGGCCAGGCCTCTCCACCCCCACGCCTGCGGGGCACGGCCAAGCTCGCCCCTGGCTCTGCCTGCCCGCAGGGCTGGAGGCAGCCATAGTGTTTTCATAGAACCATGGCAACGGCCAGCTAGCCGGGGACACTCAAGGGATTCTGGGAGTTGTAGTCCTCTGCCTCCTGAAGAGGCTAGGGGGCAACTGTTGCCAGACAACGAGCTCGCCTAGCAACACAGCTAGGGCACAGCATGTGAGCTGCACTGAAAGGATGCAGCCGATAACCAGTGCACGGGTCTGGGGGATTAATTATTAATTGCACCATGGCAGCACCGCCAATTGCTACCGCCAGCCGCCCACAATCAGGGGTTCTGCTCGGGGCCCCGGTGTGCCCCGAGAATTGCCACGGTCCTTGAACAAAGAGGCCGGGCTGGGGTGCGCAACGGGTTGGGGCCTAGTGGCTCAGGGCCTGGAGACTCCCAGGGACAACGCTGCGATCCACAAAGGGCCAGGCTCGCCTTGTCCCTCTGGGCCGGTGGCTGTTCCACGGAGATAAACACACAGCGTCGCTGGGCTGGGGGAGATGCTGCAGCCTCCCAACCCTGGTCCTGGTCCCCCCGCCCCTGGTCCTGGTCCCCCCGCCCCAGCCGCTCTCTCACTGGTGAGCCACCATGGAGCAGCTTCACCAGGAGAGACTGCGAGATTCCCTGCATCGGAATAGCTCCGTGGTTGGGGCACTGTCCGGAGAGGCAGGGGACCCCTGTTCAAAGCCTTTCTCCCCAGCTGGCAGAGAGAGGGAGAGTTGAACCTGGGTCTCCTGCATCCCAGGTGAGTGCTCTAACCGCTGGGCTGAACAAGGTGGGCACCGCCCCCATCTCCTCCTCTGGCTGGCTGGCTGGGGCTGGATGCCTCTGAGCACGGATCAGGTCTGCGTGTGACTGACCTGGGCACCCGAATGCCTGTCTCTCTCCAATTCATAGGTCGCTCTTGGGCTCCCGGGGGAGATAGGGGGCCCACCCAGTGCCTGGTGGGAGGCAGCAGTGCGCATGCCTGAAGTCAGAAACAGGTGGGGTGGGAACGCCGAAAACCTAGACACAGAGTGAATTTAGGCACCCACAGGGTTTGGGAAGAGAGTTTTGTGGATCACAGGGGAGCCAAAACTGGGACTTAGTCACCTAAACCCTGGCCTGAGGCACCCAAGTACCTTTGTGGATCCCACCCCGTCTCTAGCCCTGTGGGTTGTGGACAAAAGTTTTACAACGTGAGCCCTAAAGTCTCGGAACAGGAGGCAAATAAAAAGGCCTGTCATGGTGTGGGACTCACCCCTGCAGCGCCTCCTGCTGGTTGTCCAGGGAATTAGCTCTTTTCAGCCAGCGCCCTCTGCCAGTCGATGTCTCGCCTGCCGCTGGCCCCATGCCCCTTCCGGACCCCAGTGTGCTTCCAGATTAGGGTTCTGCCCCCTGGCAGTACCCCCTCAGTCTGGGTCTCCCCTCCCCAGGGTAACCCCCAACCCCCATCCCTCCCTTGCCTCAGTGGCTACTGTCAGTCATCGTCTAGCCCCCACCCCCTGGGGCAGACTTCAGTCTGCACCACTCATCATCAGCAAGTCGGGGGGGGGGGGGGGGGGAGGGGTCGAACCAGCTGCCTCTGTCTAGGTCTGGGCTGCTCCTCTGCAGCCTTAGTTCCCTTTCGTGGGCCTTTACCTCGGCCTGGGGCTCTGCTCAGCTGGAGTTCCCCCTGCCCTTCCCCAACACTGCTCTACCCTAGGTACCCTCCTTAGCTTCCCAAACAGCCAGGTCCTCCTCTCTCCATGTAGCTAGACAGAGCATCTCTCTCCTTCTGGCCCACTGCCCCCTTATAAGGGCCAGCTGGGCCCTAATTACACAGGCTACAGCTGTAGCTGTTTTCCCAAACAGCCCAGCTTTTTCCCTCTCAGCCCTCTCCCAGGGCTGTTGTAAGCCCTTCAAGGCATGGTGGGGGGCCACCCCGCCACAAGGCCCAACGTGTATTATTTTTAATATCTCATGATTTTTGAGCACTTCGGGTTAGCAGTACTGCAGCTCCACTCTCTAGCTGATCAGGGCCCCCTTGTGCTGGGCTCTGTACATACACCTCGTGAGAGACAGCCCAGGTCCTGAAGAATTTACAGTCTAACTGATTATTATTTCTAGCTACAAAGTGCTACCTCCATCCCTTATTGCAAAGCCCATAGTTACCAGGCTCTGATGTATGTGGTTGACCCTCTGAAGTGCTGTCAGCTTGGCTGCTAAGAGTGTGTGAAGAAACAGGATCAAAACCAGGAGGTTTTAAATGAATAGTAAAATGTTTGGTTAACTGGTCATTCCCTCCTTACCCCACTGATCTGCCCTCTGCTGTTCTGGCTGAGAATGGGAGCAAGGTAGCTGATGTAAATGATCTTCTCTTACTATTTCTGGGGTCAGGCAGAAGTAGGAAGTACCTGAAATCCTACAGAGACTGGATTACAGCCTATTTAACCAGCTGGTCATCTGTCTGTTGCCTCAATTTCCCTCTTAGGTTCCCCATAGATGCCTGCGGACTCTGTTTGCTACTGCAATATATGTAATAGTAAAGGTAGTTTGTGCCCCCAATGAGGTTTGTGTCTGTAAAGTTATAATCCATCTTTACTTGTTACAATCCAGATGTAAAGTTAACTGGGTTTTGCTATTTAAAAAAGGGCTTTTTCTCAAAGCCCAGGATTAATAGAAATGCTGCCCTTTCTCTCAAAGTCCTTGAGAATAAGTGTTTTGTTTGGATTGACACATTCCCCCTAAAGTGTTTGCAACCCAAAGAGCAATTTATAGCTATTTCTATGCTAGTTATCACTGCCATATCTGAACTCCTCGCAAATATTAATGCCTTTATTTCCCCACCACCCCTGTAAAGTAGAGAACTAGCATTATCTCCATTTTACAGAAGCTCACACTCAGAAAGATCAAGTGACCTTTCCCAGGGCCACCTAAGGAGTCCATGGCAAAGCCAGAGAAAACATTTTTTCTGGTTCCCAGTTTTGTTTCTGAACTATCAGATTAACCTTGGGCTGACCCAGGAACAGTGAAGCTAATCCAAAACTGACAGGAAACAACAGTGAAACTAACCGGAGTTTCTCTTCATCGCCCCAAGCTGAAAGGATTTTACAAGAAACAAACAGCACAAAAGCAGGTGCTGTTATTCATTTCTTTAATGCTTTTAATTTCAGTGTCAATTTTGCAGAGCACAAATTCCAGAAGTAGTCACACAGCCCTTGCAGTTTATAACCTAAACGATGCTTAAAGGCATATTTAATTTTTTAAAAATACAATTTTATTTTAGTAAAATAAATAATAACACAGGTAAGGCCATTTAATTTATAAAATACCAATTTTAGCCTGAAAATTCACCTTTAAGTAGGGTTGCCAACTATCCTGGTTTCGCCGAGAGTCTCCCAGAATCAGGCTCTATCTCCCGGAGGCTACTGAAGCCAAACCAGTAGATTTTAGGCTGCTAAAAGTCCAGCAGCTCAGTGAAGTTAAGACAGGCTCCCTGCTTGCCCTGGCCCCACACTGCTCCCTGAAGTGCCACCCGGCTGGAGGCCACACCCCTCACCCAGTCCCACAACCCAGCGCCGGAGCACCCACAGAGCCGGCACCTATGCCCTCAGCCCCAGCCCTGAGTCCACACCCCAGCGCCCTGCCCCAGGCTTGTGAAAGTGAATGAGGGTGGGGGAGAACGAGCGACAGAGGGAGGGGGGATGGAGTGAGTAGGGCGGGGCCTCAGAGAAGGGGCGGGGCAGGGGCAGGTCTCAAGAACGGGGCAGGGCATGGGTGTTTGGGTTTGTGTGATTAGACATTTAGCAACCCTACCTCAAAGCCCCAATGCTCCAATCACTTATGTGCTTAATTTTACTTACACAAGGAACCCCAATGACTCACATGAGTAAATTTAATCCCTAAGTCTTTGCAGAATCAGGGTTTGTATATGCAAAAACACAGCACACCAGGCGGGTGCTAACATACTTTGGCGCTTTCCCAGAGAACCTGGCTGTTACCTTGCTATTAAATAAAGTATCTGGAAATCTTTCTGAGCACCACTAGAGGGTAATACAAGATCCCCCAATTTCCTCCTGCGGGGAAAGGAAGAATTCTGCTGGAATCTGCTGCTGCTTGGTAATACACAGCCAGGTTTTTGCTTTGCAAAGGACTGAGGCAGAGAGTGAAAACCCTGGCTGGCTTTTGCGGACCTCAGGAAGATGGAAATTTCACACCAAATAGCAAGCAACTGATGCCCAGCTGCCACAGGTTGCAAATGGGACAGTCAGGCTGCCCCAGCAGAGAGAGAGAGGCCCTGATCCTGCCTCTGGCGAGCTGACTGGGAACTACAGGCCAGTCAGCCTCACCTCAGTCCCTGGAAAAATCATGGAGCAGGTCCTCAAAGAATCAATCCTGAAGCACTTGCATGAGAGGAAAGTGATCAGGAACAGCCAGCATGGATTCACCAAGGGAAGGTCATGCCTGACTAATCTAATCGCCTTCTATGATGAGATTACTGGTTCTGTGGATGAAGGGAAAGCAGTGGATGTATTGTTTCTTGACATTAGCAAAGCTTTTGACACGGTCTCCCACAGTATTCTTGTCAGCAAGTTAAGGAAGTATGGGCTGGATGAATGCACTATAAGGTGGGTAGAAAGCTGGCTAGATTGTCGGGCTCAACAGGTAGTGATCAATGGCTCCATGTCTAGTTGGCAGCCGGTATCAAGTGGAGTGCCCCAAGGGTTGGTCCTGGGGCCGGTTTTGTTCAATATCTTCATAAATGATCTGGAGGATGGTGTGGATTGCACTCTCAGCAAATTTGCGGATGATACTAAACTGGGAGGAGTGGTAGATACGCTGGAGGGGAAGGATAGGATACAGAAGGACCTAGACAAATTGGAGGATTGGGCCAAAAGAAATCTGATGAGGTTCAATAAGGATAAGTGCAGGGTCCTGCACTTAGGACGGAAGAACCCAATGCACAGCTACAGACTAGGGACCGAATGGCTAGGCAGCAGTTCTGCGGAAAAGGACCTAGGGGTGACAGTGGACGAGAAGCTGGATATGAGTCAGCAGTGTGCCCTTGTTGC